ATTACACAACTGTACAGTTGTATCACTGATCCCGATAAGTTATGCGAAATGCACTGTTAGGTGATTTCACTATTACTGTGCAAACCTCATAGATGTAATTACACAAACCTGGATAGGTAGCCCACCACACACCTAGGTTGGATAGAGGAACTACTGTCATATACATGCTTCATCGTTAACAAAAATGCTGTGAAGCAATGTGTGACTGTTCCGTTGGTTGGAGGGATACTTGCCACATTTTCCAGATGAGGAAACTGCAGCTCAGTGGGGCCTGTTACTCAGTTGTTGCAAAGAAAAACTGGATCTAAATTCCTGTTCCTGAAGTGCTAACTATGTGCTGAGCACCGTGCTGATTTCCTGGGATTTAAAATGAATGCTACACAAATCTTGCCTGTAGGAACTCACAATCCAGGGGGGAGACAGAGACCCAGGCATGGGTAATCCCAATGCCAATGGGAAGCAGGCGCTCCGTCTCACCCTTCCTCCCTTCATCAGCCAAAACTTGAAAGCATAATTCATATTTACTGTTTGTCTTATGTCTTCAAAAGAATTTTCTATTTCCTGCTCTTATTGGAATGTAGGAAATAATTTTGATTGAAACCACAGATCATTTGATTTGCATTGAATGAAGTCACTTAATAGAATTCTTCTCTATCTCCCTGTTCATCCTAGTTTAAGTAAGCTTCCTTAAACTATCAAAACAGTTTCTACAACTGCTACCTCCCGAGCAAGGGTGCACCCTGTGCCTGCAAGTATGCAACTCAGAGACCCCCAGGTATGGTTGGGGGAGGGTGGAAGAGAGACTTAAACTAAAAAAGATCGGTTGACCTTGAAGGTCTTACTTGATTTTATGGAAAACCAGTCGTGTAACTTGTCATGAGATGGAGCTCTTAAAATGCGGTTATGTCGGCCCTCCCTGGTGGCGCAGCGGGTTAAAGCACTGCACTAAGAAGCTGAAACCACTTCCGCATGAGTTCGATCCCGCCTGCCCGGGAGGTGACCACATGACCACGTGGCAGACCTCTCCTGACCCGCCCGCTGCTCCCCTCAGCAGTGTACTTCGTCGATCTGCCTGGTTCTGCTCCCCACTCTGTCTCTGGTGAAGTCTTTCGCCACCCCTGAGTCTCTGGCCTGTACCCCAGTTCTGTATGCACAAATAAATAAATCTTTAAAAAAAAAATGCGGTTATGGCACAAACCCTGGGGCAGGAACCCTTGAAAGAAAAACAGATGCTCTGATACTCTATTGCAAACTATTTGGACCTAGTAGATTTGATCTTTGGCCTAGTCAGGTGGGAGTATTTCCAGGGGTCAGTAGAAGATTATGGTTCTGCAGACATTATCTTACTTTGTGACCTAAATGACCACCACTGGGCCTGTGTGCAGAGGACTAAGTGGGTGATAGTAAAGGGACTTTGGAGTCGCTGTGGGTTCTGAGGTCCTGATATGACCACCTCACAAGGCCTCCTTGTAATATCCCACATTGCTCACATATCAGAGAAATCTCTTCTACTGACCTACTTTAAAACAAAGCAATAATTATCTCCCTTACTTTGGCAATTCACCAGACACATCTAAAGTCACTGGGAGTGGGGAGCAGGTACTGATCTCCAACAGATGTCCAGGATTAGCAGCCCAAATTCATCTCTTAACCAGACAGGACAGCACATACAAAAACAAGTAGAATCCTAATCTCATGAGGGTGTTCTAAGTATTGTGTGATTTCACTTAGATGTTTTTAACAAATAGCACAGGCAGACCCCCATGCTTCCCCAGAACAGGCAGCCTGATGGGTTCAGTGTAATTTATACACTGAGGTTAGCTCCCGGGGTAGTAAAAGCTCCAGAGTGGGCCCAACCGGCTGAGTTCCTGCTGAGCCACCAGGACATGCCGTTTCCCTCCCTGAGCAAACTGTGGCGTGACGGTGGGCATGCCACCCAGCAGCGCGGGGCCGAGGGCTAGCCGAGCACTATGAGTAAGGCCGCTGCCTGGCTCTGCTAGCGCTTCAGCGTTTTTGTAGGAGATTGATTTGTTGGTGATGGCTCACTGGTTCACGAGGTACCCAGTAGGGCCTGCCTGGAGTGGTTGGTGATTTTCTCCAGGGCATTTTAATCCTCCCACCTGTCCAGTGTCTTTGAGGAAGGCAAAGTGGGAGGTACTCGGCCAGATGGAGGCCAGCCAACGTTCTTCCCCGAGAAACTCTTGCTCTGCCGCACACCCGACCTCCTTGTTGGAATTTCTCTGGACCAAGCTGGCATCGAGCCAGCACATGGATGGTAGAAAGGCTGTGGGTGTCAGCAGCTCCTTAGGATGGTCAAGAAGAGGAGGAGCTGAGGAGAGACGAGCTGTGGCTTCACCGCACAGGCCGCCACACACACGGCAGCCGTCGGGGGACCTGTGTTCTAGAAGACAAGGGAAAGGATGGCCCTGCCCGGGAATGCGGCCAGCCAGACCCGGAAAGCAGCAGAGGGTGGGTGGCTCATCCATCTAGTTCTCCAGGCCAGCGCAGGGGAGTGACAAGGCTTCTTTGCCTTTGGAAGAGTTACAGAGTGTCACTGCATTGTCTGTCGGTGACAGACAATAATCTCAAATGATTATACAGCTGTGACGATTGTTACTTCATCTTAAAATTAATTTATTTCTCTAAGTTCTCCAAACATTGGCTCAATAGCATCTGATTCCTCTGTAGTCCCTCCCTTTTCTAGATATCTATTGCTTTTATTAATATTAATGTTGTATTTTTCACTTTTTTTCTTTAATCTTATTTTCTATTTTGTATTTTAAAAGAACAAACTTGTTTTTTTCATTTCATTGAGGCATAATTGATAAAAGCTGCATATTCAAAATGAACAAATTTTTTTTTAAATGTTTGTTTATTTTGGGCCCTCCCTGGTAGCCAGCAGGTTAAAGCACTGCACTCAGAAGCTTAAGCCACTTCTGCCGCATGAGTTCGATCCCCGCCTGCCCCGGAGGAGATCCACATGGCGAGGCAGACCTCTCCTGACCCGCCCAATGCTCCCCTCAGCAGTGTACTTCCTCGATCTGCCTGTTCTGCTCCCCACTCTGTCCATGGTGAATCCTCTCACCCTCCACATCTCTGGCCTGTACCCCAGTTCTATATGAATAAATAAATAAATCTTTAAAAAATGTTTATTTATTTTATGCTTACAGAACTGGGGTACAAGCCAGAGGTGTGGTTGGTGAGAGGATTCACCAGAGACAGAGGAGGGAGCAGAACAGGCAGATTGACAAAGTACACTGCTGAGGGGAGCAGCGGGTGGGTCAGGAGAGGTCTGCTGCACGGTGTGGGTCATCTCCGGGACAGGCGGGGATCGAACTCCCGTTATAGTGGCTTCAGAGAGCTGCATAATGCGGCACTTTAACCCACTGTGCCACCAGAGAGAGCCCCAAAATGAACAATGTGATACATCTGTAAAGCCATCACATAGTCAAAATAAAATGATCATTTTGAACTTTTTAGCTTCTAGTTTCTTAATTTCCAATTTAATATTTAATAGCCTATTCTTTTCTTTATGTATGTATATATTTTCTTCTTCCTAGTTCCTTAAATGAAAGATAGCTCATTTATTATTAATATTAATTATAAGTAGAGTGACTCTTCCTATTTATGGCAGATCTATAAAGTTGCCACAAACACTGAATTAGTGAACTCTTACACATTACTTCTTGGAAAAATCCAGGGTGAAGTTCCTAACAACTTTTGGGCACATTTTTTTCATGAATCATTAATAGGTAATCGGGTTTTATGTGTGTTTCTGTCTCAAAGATTCTTTTAAAAATGTAAACTTAATTCATTAAATTGTTGATTTGTTAACCTGAAACTCCTGGTTAACAGTCCCAGAACTTAAGTCTGAGCAAAGCTTATCTATACACATATTCTTCATCAGGTACATTGGTCTTTTTCACTTAGGAACACTAACCAGCACTTCAGCGTCATCCTTGCTGGGGTTGGGGGAGCCATAAAGAGTAGAATCACTAACAACAGCACAAACATGTGAGACACGCAGCATTAAACAGTTGATGATGGAGGGCCCTGGTTCACAGGGAGAGCAGGAAGTAGGAGGGAGAGCATCACCTTGTTGATTTCAGCTGGGAAAGTGGGCTTTAGGTAACACAAATGTATCAGTACTTTGCTCAGGTCCATGATAACTTGGAAAATGCTGTGAATATTATTTTGGGGGTCATAAATTTTAGTGGGTAGTTGAGTTTACAAATACAGAATCTGCAAATAATGCGGGGTGATTGTAGCCAAATCATCTAAGGTGTAATCATTTTCTTGGGTTTAGACAAAGGCATCCTCTCAGAAGAACATTTAACAGACAGGGTGTTCCAAGTCCTCTATCATTGTCTCATTTGCTGCATTTTGAAAAGTGCTAACCTGTTTCCTCGCTGACCTCTGTTTAGATCATAGCAGGGTTTGCCCATTTGCTCAGTTAGATGGGTGATACCCTTGTCATACCGCAGGACAAGCCTGGACAGTTAAGATCCGGGTCCTGTGTGGCTTGTACCAGAGAGAAGAATCCAAGCACAGCACAGAGGCTCTGGGGTTGGCCTTGGCTTTGAGTTCTTGCTTCCTCTGTCCGACCTGCTGGATACATTTCTCTAACTCATGCAATTGTTCTGAGCTTATTTCCTTCCTGTAATTGCATAACTCCCAAATTGTCACAGAGACCAAATGAAGTATTTGAAAAACAGCAATGAGTTGTGGTAGTGTGAGGTGGGGAAGTCATTGTCATCCTGCTAATAAAACTCTCAGAGCAGCTTGCCACTCTCCTTGTGTTTACTGTCGTAGGTCCATTTCATGAGGACACAGTCCTGGGCAACTGACCCTAGCTGGAAGGAAGACACAGTCAGAAGCAGCCAATTCAGCGTCCTAGGAAGCCCAAAACCCTAGTTTGAAGAAATCCATGGTCCTGGGAGCACCATGAGACCCATGACCCTGGACTACCCTGATCTCATAACCTGTCTCCTCATCCCTAGCACCATGAGTGCCGAGGAGGGTGCTGAGAGGCTCCAGAGGGTGAAGTGCCAGTTTGAGACCATTGCAGGAGAAGACTGAGAGGTTGACTCAGAAGAGCTGCCCTGGATGTGAAAGAGGCAAGTGTCTATTCCAGAAGTGGGGACCGTGCATTATAGAGAGGAGCAATCTGGATGTCTGGATATACTTGCTAACAAGGAGAGACAGGTTGCTCCTTGGGTACCCTGGGCCTGCATCCCACCTCCAAGCAGGTCAGGAGCATGCTTCTGTCTCTGATACTGGTGCCTTCCCATCCTTGCCGGTAGTCATGGCTTCCTGGTTTCTTCATATAACATGTGAAGTCAGGTCACAGTAGCCTGTCAAATCCTTAAGAGATATTATTGAGCTCACAAGTTCCACTAACCTCACGGGCAAAGCTGATGCTATGACTTAACCTTCTGCCATGAGCTAAACTTTTCAATGGTTTGAAGTCAATGAAGCTCCATTTAGACTGCTCCACCATGCTCCAAATGAGACTGCATGCCTGAGAAACAATGGAGACTTTAGCAGAGAGGCAGAAGGAGTGAGTTTGCAAATGCCAACCTCTGCCCACTGCCCTCTGGGGTGGCTCACAGTGGTGGCCTGTGTCCCTGAGATGGGGGAGCCAAGGAATGCACCTGTTTGGATTGGAAGGTTTAGTTGCTGGCAGCAGGGATACTACTAAAAACTAAATGGCATGCCTCCTTCCATAGTAAGTCGGGAGAAGGGAGAAAAGACCTCTGTCTGTTCAATACATCACTATCATAACAGGGGGCTGTAGAATATCTTAAAGGTTATGTGGGATGGAGAGTAGGCTTCCTCAAGGGTCTGGGCAGAAAGGAGTAAGACCTTAGCAGTTTTGACTGGCCACAGTGGACTTGATGGCTAGTGAATACCTCCTAGTCTCTAGATGAGACACAAAAACTACAGCCTCTTCTCCCTGCCTTGAGGGGAATATCCAGGGATGGGCTTCCTCTTTCTCTGTCCAGTCCTAATAGGAGGTCTAGCAAGGAAAGGGCTGCACAGAACATGATGGTTGAGTGAATGAATGAGTGAGTGAGTGAGTGAGTGAATCAAGCCTTAGTTAAGTGTACAACCTAATTAAGGACATGAACAGACACAGGTATGTACATATTAAGTCCCCCCAGATTCACTTATCCTCTGGAGTAACTCCAAGGGAATGAGGCAGGACGTGGGAGGAGCCTGTAGGAGGACCCGTGTTGGGCCACCAGGGTCTGGGCCACAAAGCTGATGGAGGTGATGGCATATTGGGGACAGAGAGTCTATACAATTACCAGGCACAGGGGCCCGAAGGGGGCTGAGAGCCAAACATAGTTCAGTTTTCCTGCTGCAGGGCTCTGAACAGTTCTTTCAGAGCCCAGTAGACAGGATGGACCATGGACCCTCCCCCACAGTGTGGCCTTGGGGGCTCAATCAGTCTCTGTAGTCAGGCTCCAGGGTTCTGCCTGAATCCTACCACTGCACACATGGACACACAAACACACACACACAGAATGAATCCAAGCCCATGCCTTGGGCCACACCTGTACTTCTCTCCCACTTTTCCCTGCTAGTCTTTCTCTGCTGAGAGATTCTTTACACTGTCTGACTGGGGTGGAAGTGGCTCCATCACCCTCCGGAAGCTGCAAGGGGTGCTGATCCTGCTCACCCACGGAGACCCGATGGGCAAACTCAAATTCCTTTTCCAGTGTACTACATGATGGTAAGGGCCCTTCCTAGGGCTGGGCTGGGGCAAAGTTGGGGGTCTGAGGGAACCCAAGGTAGTTAGCTGTCTTGGTGACTCCCCAGCATGGGGCTGCTTATCCAGGGCTCTCTTTCTCCGGGACCCCCTTCTCTCTGATTGGTCCCTGGCCTCCTTTTGTGGTGATGGGGCATGGGAGGGAAAAGGGAAATGTCGGACCCAGGAAACAATGCTCCTGATTCAACTCACCTGAAGCCAGAACTTTCTTTGGTTCTTTTCTGTCTGAAAAAAATGACTTTGTTGCTTTTTCTTTATTGTAGTAATTTTAGTCAACATGGAATGGTTTAAAGAAGCAAGCAAGTCACTTGTAACATTTTTATACTGCCTTCTAACTGATCTCTTTCTCTCACACACATACACATACCATTAAAAAAATGGGATTATGCTATATACTAACTGTCTTTCTTCACTGAACGATGTTTTTCATATAAGGATATATTGCTTCACAACATCATTTTTATTGTAGTAAGATATTTATAGCATTAAGTCTACCATTTTAACCGTTTTTTAAGAGTGTGGTTCAGCGACGTTAATTGCACTCATATCATCGTGCAACCATCATCACTATCCATCTCCAAGACTTTTCATCTTCTCAAACCAAAACTGCGACATTTAAATAATAGCTCCCCTTTGCCCGCCTCCCTCCAGCTCCTGGCTACTGTGGGTAAGAATATGGCTTGTGCCATATTTGCCTTTTTGTAAATGGCTCACTTCACTTCCCATAATGTCCTCAAGGTTCATATTGTACCATAAACAGGATTTCATTCTTTTTTTTTTTTTTTTTAAAGGGCAGGTTTATCTGGAAAAACCTGCTCAGTGACAGGCCGGCTGGAAAGCTGCCTAGGATTTCATTCTAGAAAATCATTCTTTGCTTTATTTTTAAAAAAGATTTATTTATTCATTCAAGAACTGGGGTACAGGAAAATCATCCTTTGTATGCATGCCCTACATTTTGTTTATCCATCACCATCAATGGACATGGATTACACCCCCCTCTGGGTGGTGGCTCCAGGGCTGTATCCAATGTCTCAGCCTTGACTGCAGCTTCATCACAGTAGGGCTGTGCAGGCACAACTGGGGGAAGTGAGGTGCTGATGCAGGCTTCTCATAGACCAGGCCACACACAGTGTGCATTTGGAGTTCCAGGGCAGGATAACTACTTAGGAATCAGCAGGGCCAGCTCACTCGGTGGTGGGTTGGGAGGCCTGGAGATGGACAGTGACTTGTCCATAGTCACAGAGCACTTGTTAGCCCACCTGGTATTTTGCGATGCTGACTGTGTACCAGTCGCTTCCATTTCATCTTCACTGCTCTATGGTATACCCGAAGGGGGCTGGTCTGGCCCCTGTGTCCAAGTCCACAGAGAACGGTCCAGGAGACCTTGGATGCCTGCCTGAGTCCAAGCATGGTCTGCTGGGTCAGAAAGTGAGGTTTCCAGGTGTATTTTATCACACACCCCTGCAATGTAAACAAAGCAAAATATGGTGGGGGGGGGGAACTCCATAATTCAATACATGCCACTAGACTTATGGCACAATGTGACTCTAAAGCAAGAGTCATTCTTAATGATCAGAACGGACACTTGTAGTTTGGATTTTCTTAATAAATTAGCTTCTTATTAGAGTAGGTTTTATCTTTAACCTCATGTTGGCTACAAAGACCAGTGGTGGCAGGCACACTGCTCATCTTGTCACTTGCGCTTGCATTATTAATACTACTTTCCAGCTTCCCTTCTCTGCAGGGAATCATTTTAAGCTACTTGTCTTTCCTGTGAGGGCTACTTAGTTTGAAGTTAAAACCAGATAATATAATCTGAGGTCTGCATAGCTGGACACAAGCAAGGGTGGGAACGCTCTTCAAAATTCCTTTGGGAAACTGTGCCTTCCCCCAGGAGACCTCAAGAACCACATGTGACATGAGCCTGTTTAATATATAGACCAGCTGGGGACACCAACCCAGCACAGACATGAAATATCAATAAAGCATATGTGCTTCTTGGGTGTTCAAATCAAAGTCTTACCAGCAGACATTCTAACATTTTCTGTTCCTGCCACAATTCTGGAGATCCTACTTGGAGACCCAGCTATGGTCCTAGGGAAGCAATGAAGTCTTGGGGACAGGAGAGAAAGGGAGAACTGCCAGCCCAAGAGACCCCCACAGAGGAAGGAGGCCAGGGCAGAGAGAGAAACAGAGACAGACAGACAGACAGACAGACAGACAGACAGAGAAGAGAGCCTTTCACGAACCACTCTGTTCTCCAGTGCCCAGTCTAGTATATGGCATACAGCTGCTCTGTCTTGTCTACACAATGGACAAAGAAAGGGTGCTCTGGATAAGCCAGAATTCTGGCTAAAATTCCCTGCCTGCGAGGTGATAGTGAGGGGTTGGGAACCCCAAAAGGTAGGTGGGTGGGAAAAGCTTCTCTCGTGCTTATCTCCAGCACTCCAGGCTCAGTCTGAGGCCAGCCCCTTCTGGCTTTGGGAATTGCTCACAGCAAGACCCAGTATTGGCTGGGTCCACACTTGGCCTCCCTGACCGGGGCGGCTCTACTGCTGCTGCTGCTCATGTGGGCAGCTCCAGCCCCTGCATCCACAGGAGTGGCCACTTCAAGGTGCCCAGGCCATGATCCTGTGCCACTTGAGTTACGTCTGCCTTATAAGAATGGTTTGCTGGTTTGTTTATCACTGGTTTATTTCCTTGCCTTAATTGGATTAAACTGGCTGGAAATGGCATTGGAAGGGGTAGGGACACAAGTTTACTAGGGTTCAAATCCCCCGTCCGCTATTTTTGGGTCACTACGTTTCCTCATCTGTAAAATGGAACTATAATTCACTCCCTTTGAATTTATTTTAGGAATTCAGTGACATAATATATGCTTTACGGCAATTTCCCAGTGAAAGCAGATGGCACTCAGAAAGAGATTTACTTGTCACACCCACAGGCCCAATGGTAAGATTTTGGTGAGATTATGTACAGGTTGAATGAGAAACTTGTTAATCCCATCCATCATTGCATAAGCACTCTTGATTGTTTGCGCAGGGGGTCAGGGTAGCCATAGCTGCTGTAGCTGCTACTGTGGACCAGCAGCAGGAACTTTCCATTCCCGACAGCACCAGAATCCAAGCAACAAACACCCCCCCACCCCCGCTCCCAAGCAGCAGGCCTGGGAAAGTAGGAGAATCTAAGTAGCAGACGTTGGAAACTCCCTGCTTCATCTGTGAAGCCATACCTAGCACAGGTACTCTGGAAACATTAGTTCCATCTTTGTGCCCCTCTATCCTTAGCTTCCCCAAGATGTGGAGGTCACAGAGGATTTAGTTGGGAGACCCTGACTGTCCCCTGAACTGATCTGGTCACATAAAAAATAGACATATGCAGACACCTTCCCTGGGCCAACAGCAACCCTTTGTAGCAGGAAATAGCATCCTCATTTGACCAGTGAGGAATCTGGTGCTCAGAAAAGTAATGCGCCCACAGCCCAAGGCCCCCCGGCAAGTAGCAGCGCAGATATTAACACGTGGTGTTCTGCCTTTCCTTCTCCACTCCCAGGAAATCACTCTGTCTTTCCTTTCTTCCCCCCATCAAGAAAGGGTAAGTGTGATAGGGACATTGGTGCTTATAAGCCCTATAGTGGTCCTCCACTCCATCCAGATATTCCAAATATTCGCAGCTGGCACCAGGAATCTTCCCTTACAGAGCCGAAGGGCCAAGCACTAAAACAGAGGCAACGACAGAGAGACCCTGGTCTCCCACTCAGCCCCACCCCCAGGAGAGGGCTGTATGGCCTAGCTCTGAGAACGGCCCAAGCCCTGCTTTGTCCTTTGCTAGACCTTGAACTCTGGCAGCTTTCTCTCCCCCACCCCTGCCCACAGGCATTCTGCTGGACCCACCTGTCCTATCTCCCCATGTGCATCCTGCTTATCTTACATGGACCCTCTTGCCCAGGGGTCATGCAGCTTTTGGTCTGGCATCAATGATCTTGAACTCCCTTTCTCTCCCCAGGTCACTCAGTGCCTCACTTCCACCACAGGCCTGGAGACTACTTGCACCTGAATGTCCCCATCATCGCAATGCTCCCCAGCAGAAAGGTACACCAGCTCCTTCAGGTGCTCAGCAGGCATTAACTGTGGGTACAGGCTGAGAATGAGGACACAGAACTGGGAAAAAGGTCAGAGATGCAAAGTCAACCTCCAGAAGCCCATCTGAAACTAGGAAGCAGATGCTGAAAGGGTGGTAGGGCTGTACTGTGGCCATAGGGGGTCACGGGGTGAGCCTGGGTGGGTAGGCTGGTGGGCCAGGCTTGGCAGACTTGCTGAAGGTAAGGTTGGCAGAGTTTTCTCTGTGGGTGAGGAGGCAGAGGGAGAAGCCTAAGCAGAGGCATAAAAGCCGATGTTGTTAGAGCAAAGGCTAGGGCTGGAGCAGAGAAGGTGGGAGGGGGGTGGATGGAGAGAGAGGGACAGGAGAGAGGATGAAAGAGGGGATGAAAGGCAGATGATATGGCTGGCAAAGCAAGTTGGAGTCAGGTGGACCCAGGAGGACTTTGGAAGCTGGATGGTGTGGGCAGTTGAGAGCCCACAGAGGTCCTAGGGCATAGTCAGCTCTGAGGAGGGTGTGCCAGGGTATTTTCAAGGAGCCTGTGACAGAAAGCCAGCTTTCTCACTCCATGTGGGCCTGATCTCTGGGAGCCCCAAGGTAGAAGAATCCTCTGCATCCTTCTCCCCTAAATCTAGATTGATCCTTTTTCTATGGGTTCCCCGATCCATAGAACTTCTCAGCTGATCCTGAAAGCTCTGTTCCCCACTGGACCTCAGCACTGACCCCCTCCCTTTTGCTCAGATACCATCTTGTTACTTATTTGGTCTTGAGGTCAGTGGGCCAACAGATTGTATGAGTCCTTCAAGGCATTAGACCCAGTGGGCTGTGACCCCAAGAAGATGTCAAGGAGCTTGAGGATGAGAAAGAGTCAGAGGAGGCCCCAGCTAGGTAGTGTGCCACTGTGATGGCAAACCACAAAGTTCCTCTGGTCAGTGGGCATCAGTCATTGAGCTGCTGTTGTACACACTGGCTGGATGGTAGCGCCAGGACAAAGCAACTGTGGATCATGTGGCCCAAAATCACCCCTGAAGCTTGGCCACCCCAGCTCCCCCACTCCCATGTTCTTTATTAGAACACAGAGGATAACCGAGAGTAAAATGAGATCAGAAAAACCCAACTCCACATTTCTGCTTCAACACTTCAAGCAAGTGTTTTTAATCACTTTGCATCTCAGATAATTCAGTTATGAAGTGGCATTGACTCCCATCCTCGGCTTCTTCTTCTCACATGATCTTTTAAGGGCCAATGGGAAGTACTGAGGTGGGTAGCAAGGTGCAGATGGACCATTTATCAGCATTAGCATCAGGATTGGTAGCTTTTGAACCCGGATGAGACCCACAAAGCTGACAGGTTGCCAGTGCGTGGTATGAACACCGGCTCTGGGTGATTTGGGAGGAATGCAGAGATCAGAGCAGCTCTGGAGAAAGTGAGAATGGACGAAGGAGGGTGAATACAAACTTAGCCCACTGGGCTAGGAGACAGGTGACTAGGTGGAAGCTTCAGGCACCGTTCCAGAGAAGACTTGGCACAGTCTTTTTGGCGGGCAATCTGGTCACTTGTGTGAGCATTTTAAACATTTATACTCACTAGCCCAGCAATTTCATCTTTAGGGATTTACCTGAAAAAGCTAAACAACAGATGCACAAGAAGTATGTTAATCACCTTATTCATTCATCCATTTAGCAAGTTTATTTTTTTAAAGATTTATTATTTATTTATTTATGCATAAGAACTGGGCTATAGGCCAGAGGTGCAGGGAGTGAGAGGATTCACCAGAGACAGAGTGGGGAGCAGAACAAGCAGGTCGATGAAGTACATTGCTGAGGGGAGCAGTGGGCGGGTCAGGGGAGGTCTGTTGCATCATGTGGGATCAAACTCATGTTGCAGTGGCTGAAGATTGCTTGATGGTCCTGAGAATTTAACCCCTGTCCCACCAGGGAGGCCCTCACTTAGCAAGTTTTTACCAAGCACACAGCATCTATGGTTTTCCAAGTGCTGTTCTAGATGCTGGCGATATGCAGTAAACAAAACAGACATAGTCACTGCTTACCTTCCAGAAACGAGGGTATCAAATGTGTCAAGTGACAAGTGCTAAAAAGAAAGTAAATCAGAGCAAAGGGATTGCAATGAGAAATGTGCTAATTTATGGGTAGTGGTTGTTAACAATAATGAGAAAATGAGATTCATCAAAATGCCCAACAATAGAGAAGTAGCTAAATAACTTACTTATCACCCTTAAAGTGGAACGTTAGTTGCCTAAAAAAAGATTATGTAAATGTGTGTGCATCCATGTGGAAAGCTAGATATAGTAAGTGGAAAAGGCAGGTTACAAGCAGTAAGTTCCAGCTCTGTAAAATAAAGAGTATGTGTAGATGGAACATTCTGGAAGGACATAAAGAAACTTAAGAGTAGTGATGTCCTCTGATTCAGGGTACTTTTCCCCTATATTATTTAAAAGTCCTCAACCTTTATAAGCTAATTTGTATTGCTTTTGTGATTTAAATAATAAAGCAATCTCCCTTTTGAAGCCAAACAAGCTTTTGCTGCTTGAGCCCATCTGTGCTTCAGCTCCGTCCCTGAAGGCCAGCATACTCCAGTAAGGATGTCACTGTGGAGCTGATGTTCTATAGACCCAAGGTAACTCTGGCAGGTAGCCTGGTATACCCATGAGCACAGGAAGGGACTCAGGCCCAGTTAGCAGCTGGGGCCAAGGACCCGGCTGGGAAGATTGAGGAAGCTGGGCCAGATGCTGGACAGCCATTACTTTGTCTCCCCTCGGGACCTGAAAGAGAGCCTCAGGCCACACTCGCAAAGGACTGCACCTTAAATGTGTTTCTGCAGCCAGGCCTCTGAATGCCACCTGCAGAACTCTTGCCTTATTCACTTCCCACCAGTAATATTTCCTGCTTAATAAAGGGCCCTTTGGATTACTGTCTTTTGTGGAAACCACGTCATGTGTCATGAACAAACAACAGTTTTAAAAGTAAAAACAATGAAAACCTATGTTATTAAACTTTAGCCAGATGTTCTGCCTGGTAAGGTGTGTCCTTGAAGTGCTGGTGCTCTCGGGCTCTCCTTCTTCCCTTTTGTTGAAGGAAAAAAAAAAGAGGAGGGATCAGTCATTCTTAGATGTTAGATATAGTAGCCATAAGTAATGCAATCAGAGGATTAAAGATAATCAAAAGAGAAATCGCTCTTACAATGAACCTTCTAAAGTCACCATAGTAGTGCAAGTGGGGACAGCAGTCATCACCCCCAGACAAAGAGTAACATGGCCTCTTCATGATGTGCTGAGCGCTGGACCAGCCGCAGAAGACACAGGCTTCTCCCAGCTCTGTGGAACACAGGCAAGTCATTTCCATATGCTTATCTGCCTCCTGATCTATGAAACACAGGGTCAACCTGAATGAACGCCTGTGAAAGTCACTCCTCACTGTCCACCCACCTCCTCTCCCCACTCCCCCAGGTACACCCAGGAGGGACTGTCCTGCAGTCTGTGTGGAGTCTGCTTCTTTCCCTTCCAGAAGGAAGCCAGTTGACTTCCACCAGCCTGGTTGGTCTGCAGTGTCTGAAGTGTGCTCTGGGTGGCCTCTCCAGACCCTCAGGCAGCGCCTGCCTAGGACTGTGAGCCAGCCTCCCCCCTCCCCCCAACCCCCACACCCTCCCCGTGTGCTTTTCTGCCTGGTGCAGCTTGAAAGTTTCCAGGAGGAGCAGCCACTTCAAATGAGCTGGACCCTGGAGATACAGGAATTCACTCACTGGAGAAGAAGGAATATTCTAGGCTGGGAGTGTGTCTAGACAGAGGAGTCCTGGAAGCACTATTAGGAGGGGCTTAGACAAAGCTAAAGATGCATCTGGGTGAGAATTCTCCAGTCACATCTTGGAGCTGACCTGCCCTGGAACACCAGGGCTGCTGGAGAGATTTTCAGGAATCTGGAGTCCGTTATTAAACATGGTCATGATCGGGTGAGCCACCTTGGAAGTGGACAAACTCCTAACAATCAGGAATACTGTTCTTGCTGTTTTCTTTTTCCAAAGAATCAAAGTATCAGCACACCACTGATGTTCTCCATCTAAAGGGCTCCATCTCCCTGGAATGATTTGGGCAAACAATCCATTTTTTGTAAAGCTGCTCCGACTGGCAAAGTGTCAGACATGTGTTGTGGGTCAGACATGCCAGACCCACCCACCTCCAGAGGCAGACACTTCTTCACCTACCCCCATGGGTCCCTAGCTGTCCTCTGATCATCACCTCTGAAACATTGAGATAAGAGGCTCCAGGGTAGGCACAAGCCAGAACCCCTGCCCAGAAGAGATGAAGTCGATACCTGCAGAGGTGGTTGGCTGTGGCTCTCTGTATTCCCAAGCTCCTCAAACCCCACAGTCTGACCTCCACGGTCCAGATAATTGAACCTAACCACCCCTTTCAGGTGCTAGGGGAAGCTGGTTGTGTCCCCTGCTCACCAGGACTGCATCCATCATTCGAGGGCTCTCCCCAGACTTGTGGAAGAAGCACTGGAGTAAAAGCCCCGTAGACTCGCTTCATGCCCAGAAGATGATACCCATAAAAAGAGGTCTTGAAGCCTTGGGATCCAACACTCCTCCCTCCAGCCTTCTCTCTCCTCTCCTGCTCCCATGCTCAGCGCTTATGGAACAGCCACATGCAGAACCTTTGCCTCTGAGCATGCTGGCCCTCCGGGGTGGGAATAGACATCACCCCATTTGCGTCCATCCCACAGAGCATCATGTACAGGTGGGTGGGCGTTCATGGCCCTATCTGCACCCTGGGTCAGTGTCCTGAGAGATGACCCCCACCTTTCTCCCCTTTACTCTGCTCCCTGCTCTCCTTTATCCCCTTCTCCTCCTCCATCCCTATTTCCAGGTCTTCTCCTGTTTCTCTATCTAACTTCCTGCCTCTGAGCTGTCCTCTGGAGTCCTGTAAAGTCTCCTATTCACAAAATGAAGAATGATGTAAAAAAAAAAAAAAAACCCTCCTCCCACTCCCCTCAGGGAGAGGGGATAGCACATCCGCCCCAGTGGCCAGCGGTCCTGGAGAGAGGGCAGCCAGGACCACACATGAAGCTCCACGAGGTGGGCGCCGCCTCCTACAGGCAGGCCACCTGGCATAGGATCGGGCTTCCCTCACAGAGGCAAGGGAGGAGCAGATGACCTCCCCACTGCTGGGGTCTGCTCATCCCTCTACTCCCGCAAAGCCCAGCATTGTCCTGGAGCCTCATAAGTGTCCAGGCATGCTGGGCCCTGAGGCATCTCATTAAAGGTCTCAGAGCCTGAAATTCAGGCATCACCTGCTGATTTTAAAGGGTAAAAACACGTTTGCCTTTTGAGAACATCATTAATTCTGTGTAGGCCACTTAATAGCGATTCTAAACATAGGATTATAGGTTTCCCTGCAAGTGAAATGGCAGCATTATTCACAGTATTCAGTGTGCTCCTATTCGATATGACTTGGTAAGTTACTTTGTGGGACTAGGAACACTATTACCATTAAATTTACATAGAAAAAAATTTTCAGCACTCCAAGCCCAAAATAACTACCAAATAGCAATTTTCTACTTCCAGATAGCAAGGAAAACCTGCAATTAATGTTTTCCTGGCTGTCCTAAGTGTAGGGTCTCAGAACACTGCTCACTGTGAACAGTAGCTGGGTGACTGGAGCATGCCCTGCCTGGCAGCCTGGCAATCAGGGCCCAGGGTGCTGGTCCCATACAGTGCTGTGACCTGGGCAAGCTCCCCGTGCTGGGAGCCTCACTTCAGTGATGGTCACTGGGTGAAGGGCTCAGGGTGAGTGTGCTGTGAGGGAGGCAGGATCCTCTGAACTGAGGGGCTCCACCCCAGTGGGCTTCATCTGGATCCACTGAGATGAGACACAATCTTTTGGGTGGTTTGTGAGCCTCCTTACCAGACTGGAGTAGGACCCAGATAGGAGACTGAAGAGGGTCGGAGGCGATAGGCCTTGCGGGGCTGGGCCAGGTAGGAGATTGGGCTGCAGGCCTTTTTAAGAGGGTGTTCTATTAAACGTGTATTCCTTCTCTCCCCCCACTAAAACGTACCATTTTGTGCAGTAAAAGAGGGGATCAGAGCTTATTCTTATTCCCACCTAGATAGTCAGATTTTTCCAGGCACTTGAAAGAACTTGTGGTATTTTTTTCTTATACATATTTTATGAAAATATATAGCCTTCTTTTTTTCTAGCTGTTCTTTTTAAATGACATTTCTTTTCATTCAGAGTAAGCTCTTGCTGAAATTTAGATTTCCAGCTCTTCCAAATTAGATTGTCTGGGAATAGGGCCCAACAGTATGCATTTTAACATGCTTCTCAGATAGTTCTAATTCTTAGCTTTTTAAAAAAGTTTTCGAAGGATACATACAATCGAATTCACCAGTTTAAGAGCACAATGAATACAGTGACATTTTGACAAACTTGTCCAGCTGTATAACCATCAACACAATCAGAATATCTAACATTCTGTTAGCCCCCAAAAGTTCCCTCAACCCACTCTGCATCAATACCTCCATCCTTGTAGCCCGCAGAAATCACCAGTCTGCTTTCTATCACTGTAGTTTTTACCTTTTCTAAAATTTCAGATAAATAGAATCATGTTGTTTTTCTCTATATCTTCTTTCATTTAACTTACTCTCTTTGAGATTTATCCACGTGGTTACATGTATCAGTACATAGTTATTCCTGGTTGTTTTTTTTTTTTTTTTTTTTTTAGGTAGCGCATTTAAAAGGTCTGTTGTTGGTGGATATTAGGCTTATTTCTGCCTCTTGGCTATTTTGAATAAAGTTGCCGTGTGTTTACACATTCGAACCTTTGAGTGCACTGTTTCCAGTTGGGTACTATGGTGTTTGTTGAGTTTAACTTTCTAAGGAACTGCCAAAGGGTTTTTTCAAAGTGACGACCGTTTTTTTTCCATTGGCAATGGATGAGAGTGCGCAACTCTCGTCAGCCTCATCAACAGTTGATATTGACACCTCTACATTTAATTTAGCCACTAGAATAAGCCTTTCATTTTTATTTCCTTGTGACTACTGCTGAATACTGTGAATAATGCTGGATCTCTTTTCATGTTCTTACTTGCTCCTTGCACACCTTTTGGTAAAACGTCTGTTTAATATCTTGTCCAGATGTTTTTCACCTTTTATTGATTTGCAAGAGTTCTTTGTTTTGGAAACAGGTCAACTATTAGGTTATATGTACATTTTATAAGTACAATCTCCCAGTCTCAGGTCTGTGGTATGTCTTTAATTTTATTTTTTTTTTTGTCTTTAATTTTCTTAACCTGTCTTTTGAAGGGCAAAAATTTTTAATGTTAATTATGTTCAGTTTATCAGATTTTTTTTCTATTATTCTTCATGCCTTTTGTATCCTATCTTTGTATCTAAAAGCTTTGCATGTCTAAGGTCGTGAGTATTTTCTCCTATGTTTCCTTCTGTAAATTTTGCAGTTAAGCTCTTCATTTAGATCAGTCTCATAGTGAATTCCACAAGGTCCAGGGTATAAAGTCAATATGCAAAACTCAGTTGTGTTTCTGTCTACTAACAACAAATACTTAGTAACTGAAAATATTAAGTAAAACTTCAAAATGTATGGAATACGGCTAAGTTAGCAAAAAAAAAGGGGGGGGGCAATCTGCATACTACATACTATAAAACATTTCTTTATGTCTCTTGTACTTGGATTTCATGGAACATCTTGGATACATGGGCTTGCAGTTTTCAGCAAATTTGAATAAATTTCAGCCATTCTTTCTTTCCATTTTTCCTCCTGTCTCCCAGCAGGTTTTTTAAAATAGATATTGAGAAGTTGATTCTAAAACTAACATTGAAAACCAAAGGGCCTAGAATAGTTCTTAATTCTATTCAGTCTATTTTTCTTCTCTGAATGTTCCAATTGGGTCTCTTTTGTGTCTTGCATTTCCCTTCTCATATTTGTTTTGTTTTTATATTCCCAAGCACATGTATAATATTTGTTGGAATATATTTGTCTAAATCCATCATCCCTGTCATTTCTGGGTGCATTTCAAACTACTAATCTCTCCTAGTTAGGAGTCACATTCTTCTGTTTCTTTGCATGCCTTATCATTCTTTATTCAATGCCAGGGACTGTGAATCAAATGTTATGTTCTGGATTTTTGTGATATTTTATTAAATAGGACTCTCCTTTCTTGTGGTGCACACTTAAATTATTTAGGAATCATTTGAATCCTTTCAAGACTTGCTTTAAACTTCAGTTAGGTGAGTCTGGAGCAGCCTCTCCTGTGGGCTCATTAGCCTCCCTGGGAGTAAGTGGCTGCACCTGAGGACTCTTCCTGCTGCCGGTCCACTTACAACAAGCTCTTCCCACACTTGGTGGTGGAAATAAAGCTCCTCCAGTTTTGTTTGAGCTCCAGGTGTTGCTTATTTTAGTGTTTTCTGGGAATTTCCTTTCGCAAAAGTACAGAATGATCGTCAGCCCAAGACTTAGGAGAAACTGTACAGAACTAAAAATGGAAGGTGAGCTAGTGAGTTTAGCCTCCTTTCCTCCTGCCGTCCCTCCCTTCTACCCTCCCTTCCTTCCTTCCTCTTTCTCTTCTTCCTCCTCTCCTCTCCTCTTTTCCCCTCCACTCCCCTCTCCTCTCTTCTCCTGTCCTCCCATTCTCTCCTCACCCCTCTCTGCAACTTTTACTCCTCATTATGTATAGAATATTCTGGCTTTGCTTCCCTTCCATGAACTACACTTTCTATCTTCTCAACCTAGTGAGACCAGCATATGGTCAACTGGGAGAAACACAGGGCTTACTACCCTGTTTCCTTCTCTTAGCCCAGCTTGTTGACCCATGCCTGGAAGCCATTGTTCTACACATTGCTGTCCATTTATCTAGGTATTAAGCTGAGAGGATAAACATGATTCTTTTTACTCCAACATACATTTTTAAGATTCATGATCTCTTTGTAGAGACTAACGTGGAAATACACACACATACACACGCACATATTTGGGGGTGAATATTCAATATTTTCAATTTAGTGAGATAATATTTTCAGTTTAGGCCTGAGATAAACACCTTATCATGCATAAGTTCTTTTCCTGTATGACCCCTTCTTTGATTCTTTACTCAAAACTAAATGTTTTCATATCTTCCCTAGGCTTTCTAGTCTCCCCTCCTTCCTGCTCCGCATAATGTGGTATTCTCTCTGCATATAGTCATTTTTATTTTTACTGAACTCTGTATGACAAATGTGACATATCAGTTTTCTTGAACATCCTGGTGGAATGTTGAAGTTTTGTACTGTGTTCTAACGTCATCTGTTTTAGGCATTGTTTGAGTCCATTACTTAATGGAATAATTTGTCCTAGGACAGGATTATCTTTTGATAGATTTCTAACTTCAAGAGAATTGGTGTTTTTTTAGACTGGTTGATTTCACTGGAATTAGATCTGATTTAGCTATTTAATTACCACCAGGTCTCCATGAGTCAATTCAAATTCCTATGATATAGTTTCTAAATTCAAGTATTCAAACAGTTTTCTACAAATAACATTCAAACAGATCAAGTTTACTAAAGCTTTCAAAGCTTGAAAGCACACATCTTTGTCTGTGGAAGATTACTATTAAACCTCAGGATGTTGCAGTAGAATTCCTTGTCCTTTCTTGTAAATAACAATTCTAGCAAATATTTATAGAGCATTGACTTTGTTCTAAATGCTTTTTAGTATATCAATTCATTAGAAACTCAATTTTATGATGACAAGCCTGGGGGAAAGTTTAGATTTAATTTACATTTTCTAGTTACTGATATATAAATATTGGCTATCTGCTGCTTGCTAATCTTTGTAAATACAGGGCAACAGCTAACTTGGTGCTTTGCATTCTCAAGTCACTTGAGTCAACAACTGTATTACTTCTCATTTCTTTCTCATTAACTGCAGCTAAAACTTCTGGCTTCTGATTTCAACTTTAATTACATATCACCGTTTGAATTAAAGAATTTGTAGCTTATGCTTTTTAATTTCTATAGCTTAAGCTTTAATCATTCTGTTTGGCTTCAATATTTACTTTATCCCTTAATAACTGCAGAAACTTGGGCACGCTACTTAACGGCTTTGCTTCAATTTTCTCGTCTGAAAAATTGGATACCACTAGCACTTACCTCATAGAATTGTCAAAGTGATGAAATGAGATGACACCTGAGCACACTTAGGACAGTGACTGGAGCTTATTGCTCAAGAAATTTAGCAGTAGAGGTAATGGCAGCAGTGATAATAGTAACTGACCAATAAATATAATAGTATGAAGTAATAATAATAGTAAATTCCCAGGAAATTTTGTTGAAGTGTAAAATATTGCCCATATTCAATAACGACCGAGGCCCATGTCCGATGCAAAAACAAACGAGACTTTATTAGGCTAGCTCAAGCCAGGATCCTTCCTTTA